CGAGAGAAGCGCTCTCGTTTGACATACGCAGGCGGCGGCTCGAGGCTCACGGCCTTTCCTTCCCTCTCCCCCGCCCCGTCCTCCTCCTCCTCCTCCTCCTCCTCCTCCTCCTGCCCGCTCCGCCCCTCTCCCTCGCCCCCGGCCAAGAGGAGAGCGGCAGCAATGGTTGACGACAACAAATCTTCCAGGCGGCGGGACATCTCTCCCTCCTCCTCCTCCTCCTCCTCCATTTCCCCCCTCTGGGTTGAAGACCGCTGTCGCCGACGTGACGCCGACGCCGATGACGGCTCGGCGGTTCCTCCCACTCCTGCCGCCGCCGCTCCTGCCGCCGCCGCTGCGCTAGACACCGCAGTCAGGCCCAGTCCGCCGATGACCCGCACCTCGAGGCGTGCCAATGTTAACCCGCAGGAGCGCGTCACTGCTGTTGTTCTTGTTGTGGACACCACGTCCACGTCGAGGCAAGAGGCTGGAGACAGGGGGGGAGGGGGGGGGGGGGCACACGGACGGGGAAATATCCAAGGGAGAGGTGGAGGGTCGAAATCGCGAAATCTCTCGCGGTGAAAGACGAGCACAACAACATGGCCAACACCAACAACCCGCAATGATCAAAAACCTCACAAACGACTTGAGAGAAAAAAAAAAAACACGATATGACTGCCGCCACACACCGCTCCGGAAGCAGAGAGCTACAACGACGGGTAGGAAACGGACGGCTGTCTCGGATCATTCTGAAACTCCAGCGTACCTCCGGCAGACCGTAGCGAGGAAGATATAGCCCCGAGGAGCAGCGGGCTTTGACGACAAGCCACCGTCAATCTGTACGCCCTGCCGACGCCTGCTAGCCCCGAACCGCAGGACATTCCCCCCTCACCGTCCCCCGCCACCGCGGGATGCGACGATGACAACGCCAGCGGTGACGGGCGGGCGACCACCCGTACCGTCGGGGGTTCTGCGCCCAGCGACTCGTCTTGGGCGGAGTCAGAGGAGGAGGAGGAGGCGTGTTTCTGAGTAGCGGTTTCGGCAGCGGCGGCGCTCACCGCCGCGAAGAGGGCCATGTGCTCTAGCACGTCCTCCGGGCTCACGGTTAGGGCGTACCTCTCCGGCAGTGACCGGAGGTGCTCCTTTACCTCCTGAACAATGGGGCAAGACCGCAGCAGACAGAAAAGTGGGGTGTGCGCGCGATCGTTCATGTCAAGACAGCAGGGAAACAACAAAATACATAAAAAAACGGGAAATCGTGGAAATACAGGTAGCCTTTGCTGAAGCTATGGATCCATGCCAATCTATCTTAGACTCTTTTCTACAGATAGAGATGGATTCGTTGTTGTCATACTAAGAGAAGAGAGAAACAAAGGGCAAGACCGCAGCGGACAGAAAAGTGGGGTTTTGAGTGCGATCATTCATGGTCAAGGCAGCATGGTACCAAACAAACGACACGCACGCTGTGCATGGATCGAGGGCGCGATGCGATTTGTTTGTCGAGTTTTTCGCGGTAACCATCAGAGGGATGTTCTTCTAGCAAGGCGAATGCTGCCACCATAACACCCTTTTACGCGGGGGGTCCGTCGCAAGGGCATGCGACGACGGTGGCAGTGGTGGCAGTAGCGCGAACTTGCAAATCTGGGATCTCGGGAGGTGGCACGCAAGGAGTTGGGTCCGATGACTTACACCCGTAAGAGGCAACCGAGCTCATTCTTCACGCAAAAGGAACACATGGACGCGATGCAGGTATGTACACGCCAAACGGGGGGGTTGGACAGATGTGCCTACACAGACGATGAAACCGAATAAACCCCAACAAAAACAAATCCAAAAGGAGTCCGTAGTAGTTTGCACAGCAGCATCAGCGGAGTGAGCAAAGCAACGCAAGGCCGGGGACGACCATCACGTCGGCTATCGGCACACACTGCGTGCAGACAGACACCATCAGACACGAGGAATTATGGCAGCGCAGCAGGCATATCAAAAGTAACGTAAATCATTTATCTACCACAGCAGTCAGTCATTTTTGTCCTCACCTCGAGCGTAACGGCCGGCGCCGCCGTCGGAGCAACGGCGGTGCCATAGTGAGCGGCCTCGCTGCTCCCGGCGTTCGGCGCTGCCGCCGCGCGCCCCTCCAAGATGTCCATCACGCACCTGGACGTGTCTTCCATCAGCCCCGCCCTGTGCAGCCTGAGCGCCGACAGCAACAACAATAATGGCGTCCTCCGAAGTAAGAAAAGAGAGCCTGTTTCCCACAGGGGAGATATCGCTGTATCCTGCCTGGGGAAATCGTAGAAACACAGGAACTGTAGTGCTCCGCTGACACTATGGATTCAGGACCAATTTTAGTCTAGAACCTACAGCTTGTTTCATGGATGGAAAGGGGATTTAACGTGCTAAAATGGGAGAAAAAAAAAGAAAAGAAAATGGATCTATATTTTCCTGGACCCTAATCTATGGATAGAGATGGATTCGTTAAAAGTGTTTTATAGTAAATAAAGTAGAACAATACAAAGTTTTCCGCTGTCCACGCTGATGTTCCGGCAGTATTCATAGTAGTGGTGTGGCGTCAAGGATAAAAGAAGACACCGACAGCACCAAAAAGGAGAGGAGGATTCATTTGTCTCTGGAGGGATATGATGTCATTGGTGAGACAGTACTATTTAAGTGACGATGGGCAAATGCCAAAAATAAACAAACGCCACACACTGGCGTTTCTCTTCGGTATCGCGGTACATACATCGGTTAAAAGCTCAACACCAAAACGGGCAGCGGTTTCGTACCCCACTCACCGCAAAAGACCTCCAGCACCAGCACGTGCCCTTGGACTGCTAAATAGACTCACATGCATATCATTACTTACCATATTATAGCGAGCGAATATACATCGTCCGAAAGCTGGCAGTGCAGACGCTGCCATTCTAAATACCGTACGGAACGGGTAGAATACAAGTAACCTTCAGTGATTGTCTACAAAATGGCGACATTGCGAGATATGCATGCAACACCCGGCGGAGCTTTAGTAGATATTATTGTACAGGTGGTAATTGATTTTTCAAGACATTTGTTCCAAGACGAAGAGACGCGTAAATCTACCTACGCATGGATTGTCCGTTTCAAACAATATTCACTCGCAAAACATAGCGGCAACAACACTCCCCTGCTGGTAATGTGGGCGTCTTGTGTAGAGGTGGGCTTAGGCGGCGGGGCACAAAGTATGGGGTGTATCGAACCTCTAACGCGCATGCTTCAACTTTCAAGACCTCATCAGGGCCACATTTATTTCGGGCAAGCTTTTAAAATCTAGAGAAACATGCTGTACGTGCAGTTCCATTGGGTCTACGAATGCATGCCGTGGGTCCTGGATGCCACCAAGACATACATGCCAGAACGCCAGAAGCGGCGAGTACATACAGTAGAGGCGAAGCTTAGATACAACAACGACACGAGGTTGGTGTAGAGATTAGTGTACGGCGCGAACAAAGCGTACAAAGCAGGAGTACGCGAGTGACGTCTGTGCACGTGCGCGTGTGCAGCGGATCTCGTACATAATTGTCGTCTTATCTCGAATGGGTATAGGCTTTCTGTGTTTGTTGTGTTTCCTAATAACTGTCGGGGATGGTTCTTGTCTGAACCCTGTCACCCTCGTTCGTCTTTGTACGCCATTTTTCGGGTAATGTACGCCACACCCCCCTCACATGGTTGTTTTCGAACCAGCACCACCTCGTTTGTCTGTCTTTTATTGAGCGTACGCCCGCCTGTCCGGCTGTCCGGTAACGCTGATGCTGTATGGTCAACTGTTTCTGAGTACTCCGATAACGGTGGCTTTGCTACGCAGCCGCCTGCGGTACTCGCCCTACCTCAGCATGAAGGCGTTCCCGCCGCGTGCCCTGCTGTCCGCCGACGGTAGAGGAGAAGGTGGTGGTGGATGCTCCTCCATCTCCTCTAGTTGCATCGGCGTCGTGGTGGTGGCGGTTGTTGTCGTCCCGACCGTGCCACCGACAGCACCTTCAGAGTCCACACCGCCGTTGCTAATGCTCTCGTCGCTGCTGGTGCTGGTGCTGCTGCTTGTGCCGACGCGGACGCTGGCGGTAACACCGCCGCCGCCCACGCTGCTGCTGTTGGCTTCGAGAACGTGCGCGTGCAGCTCGGTACTCGGCGTTTCGGCCTCGGATAGGCAGTGGTGCGGTCGAACCGAGGGGGAACGACCGGGTAAGGTCGTGGTACAAATAATAGCAGAAGGGATCCGATCCCGATGATTCGAAAGCAAATTCAGCATGTTGTCCTCGCTCATGGACGTTGGCACTCTCCCCGAACGATCGCGGACGGCGGCGGCGGCGGAGGTAGAGGCGGAGGCCAGTTCCTCTTCCTCACCGTCGTCGAGACAGCGGCTCTTGGTACGCGAGGGTTCCGTAAAAGTCCGACGGCGCAATAACGGGGGGAAACTCTCACAGTCGCCGGGGGCACTGCTGAAGCCCGCAAAGTTTCCGGTGCTGCTGCTCCTCTTGCGTGCCGCCATCATCGCCCTGTAGGACGACGTCAACGACGACGACGACGACTGGTTGTCTTCGTCGTCGCCGTTGGTGGAGCGCGCGTTGTCGAAGGACCCGGCCCTGCCTCTAGCCGAGAGTAGATGCTGGCGTCGGTGGGCGTGCTGCTGCTGCTGCTGTTGCTCCTTGGGGTTCCTATCAAAACACGGCGGTGTTGGCGGCGCAGCGGCACAGGGAGTGATCCCTTGGACCCCCTCTCGCAGGGTCCAAAGCTCCGCAGAAGGGACGGCGGTGCTCCCGTCACCGCCGCTGCCGTCGGGCGGGCTTGTCATCCCTCTCCCACAGCTGCCCTTCTCTCCTCAGGCCAGCTGCCTCGTACGTTATCAAAGATGGCCCGTGTTACCTCCACAGCATTTGGTCCAAGGCCTGCCCGTTCGATTTGAGGCAGCACGAGAGCACTATTACACGCCGGATGGAAAAAAAACTTGAACCTTGGCACGAGGCACCCTCTGCACGGGCCAGATGAGTAGGCCGATGAAGCTTTTTGATTCGTCTTGTGTGCTCCAGATAGGACGGGCACGCGGCATCAACAATCTCACACAGGTTGAACGTCCGAAATTACAACAATAGCAACACACGTCATCTTGCTTGGCCAATAGACAACGAGCACGCACAGTTCCGTTTGAATTCGTCGTTGACGATGTGATGATATGATGATATGGCGTGCCGAACACATACCGGCCTCGCAAGATTGCGCGCTCGGCGAGGTCATCCTCAAGTACTGCACGTAGTACCACGCAAATATATGTTGCGGAAAAGTGGGAACTGCTGTCTGCATGCTCTGTTGTGCGTAAGGGTTGGCATTGTCAACCACAGGAGGAGACCAATGACCCACAAAGCAAGGTCTATTTCGGATTAATTGCAATCTTGGATTCTTCGATAGAGATGTTTTTTTTTTTTGTGCCTTCACTTCAAATCAGCGCTCACGGCACTATTTAGTGCCGTTTACTCCAACTCGTGGTCACACAGAAGGGACCTTCTCTACCCTCCCCTCCTGCGGTACGTTGCCTTCGATTTTTGATGCGAGAAGAGTCCAGCACTCTCTTCCCTCTGTATACACACGAACTAGCGCTATCCACTAGGCTAGGAGCGGAAGCGAGAGAAAAACTCACTTTGCAAGAAAAGCTCGCTTACGCCGGGTTTCGAACCCCTGACCTGACCTCTAGAAGGTTTCGAGGAAACCAACTAGACCACCGGGGCGACCAGTTCTGTAGAGATGGATTGATGGATTCGTTGGGAAATACTCTGTTAAAAAAAAAAAATCGGTTCGTCCGCGCGGGCGAATGTCTCCACCGTCACACAATTCGTGCCTCTCTCGGCTGTGGTGTTGTTGGCCGTCTCAAGCCCTTAGGAGGGGGAATCAACGAGAAAGAGATGGGCATTAGACCACTCGAAACCTTTTTACTCTTTCAATCTGAAGGGAGAGAGAGATAGCAACACCACGGTATATTTCCGACCAACGAATGGGCCCGCCTCAAACCAGCCCGCACATACATACAATACCCACAACTTTACGCAAGTGTACCCACTCGCTCGCGCAACGAATTGAGCATGTGAGCATGCGTGACATGTGCATACAACATCCTCTTGTTTGCGTTTACCATCCTATATCTCGACGGAATTTTTTTCCGTGGATATTTGGCGGAAAAACAAATGTTGTTCCTGGTTGTGCGGGACTGGGGGGGCGAGAGGACGCGGACTGCAACAGCATCATGTTATTTTGCTGCTTGCGTACATTCGTACGTACATCGAAGGCCTATCGACCACGCATTGCCCTGCTGGACACTCTGCTGGAGCGCAAGAAGATGCTCCTTCTCATCTGTCTCAGATCCAGCGGTGAAGTCTTGGCAGTTCGTGTGATAATATGCATAGACAACAGGTGCGTTGTCCTCAAAGTATTGAGAGTGTCACCCTCCAAAGCAGACGAAACCTTGGAAGTAGGTACGTGTAGGTTTTCTTCTCTTCCTCGACCTGGCACCGAAGACATGTTAGAAAAATTCAATGGTTCTCTATTGTGGGCGGCGAGGCTGCCGGACACAGGCGGTGGAGCCCCGCCCGCGCTCTGCCGTGGAAAACGCAGCTAGCTGCGGGTGTCGGGTCGGCGCTCCAATATCGAGCACAAAAAAACGCACCATCCAATATTGAATGTAAACAGAACAATTCAATATCATGAACCGTGAGGTGAGTGTAGCTTTCGGTTGAGGAGACACCGGTGGCCGCTACGCCAAGAGCCCGAATGGGCCTACACCAATACAGCCAAGCATTGTGGTCGTGCTCTGTCAGAACACCAGTCACTCAAAAGGCAGAATGTTTGGCCTGAAAAATTCGCGCGCAACAGCAACAAAAGGCTTCACGCCAGCACACACAACATAATCCGCGTGCATACCAATAAACAGTGCCACGACAAACCCCGTCGTCGACCAAAACACCATGCTTGTCACACATCCCCTGCGTGACCATGAGTACGTACCACACTATTATGTAATCACTTATCGTATCGCACTGCTGCTCGTGCCAAAAGGGCTGTCTGCGACTATCGGTCGAAGATCGCGAAGGTCTCGATGTGGTCCGAGCCCGGGAACAGCACGAAGCCCTCGCTGTGCCGCAACACCCACCCCGCGCCGATGAGGTTCATGGCGTCTCGCTTCAGGGCGTCGAAGCCGCAGCTGACGTAGATCACGCGCCTCAGGGCCTCGGTGTTGGGGTCGTCGGGGTCCATGAGGGCGTCCATCACCCCCTTGTCCAGCCCCTGTTTTGGTGTACACAGTATTTTTAGGAGTTTGTTGGTTGTGTGGTTGTTGTTGTTGTTGTTGTTGTTGTTGTTGTTCCATGTTACGGTTGGTGGTCGTGTTGGCGATGGTTGGCGTGGTCGAATTCATTGTAGTGTGGTGGCCATTGTTCGTATTGTTGTTGTCGGAGCTAAAAAAACGTGTCGCGTAGCATGCAGGGCGTGAGGGTGAGGGGGGGGGGGGGAT